AATGCAGGACTTGGAGGTTCAAGTCCGGATTTCAAAATGAAATTGTCAAGGCAGAACTATGTTTCAAATCACAGCAAGTTGACATTTTGATTATTTACAGGTTTTTAAACTTCGCATAAAGTAGGAAAAAGACACTATCACGCTGCAGCATTCCTCACAGTTGAGCCATCATTATGGGAATTCAGTATATCATTTTTATTCATGACTGGGAAGAAGAGGGAGGTTAAAAAAAGGAAGTCACACCCTGAAATAATGAGCTATTCATAGGACAAGGGTAAAAGCCCCACATGCTAGCCTTCTGTGACGCATGTGAAAAGGCACAGAGTTTAAAGCTCAATTCTACTTGAAGTCTCCAGCCTGCATGGGGGAAGCAGGGCACAGGGCAATGATAACATTAACGTCACTTACAAAGCATTTTTGTCCGTTTTCCAAAAGATCATGAGCAATATTCTTAGAATGTATGAGGGCTTTTTGCATGTCAAAAGCTATTCATATCTTTTATTCCATATAGCAGTCCTATGATTCAACATTATTAGTGAATACATTGAAAACAGTGTAGAACAGGGATTCAGGCTGATCAAGCAGCAACTATTCTAAGGTCATTTAAGTGAAATCATGGCTGCAGCAAGATTTAAACCAAACAGAATCCAAGATACACAAAACTATCCTTGAAAACAGCAGTCCTGTAGGGAGTATACAGGATGGCCTTGAAGGACAGAGGGATGATCCATTACCAAAGCAATGAGCAGCTAAACAAGGCTTGAACCCAGACCAAGAAAGCGGTTTACAAAAATACCTCAGACAGCCCCCCTCCCCCACAATTCACATGAAGATGAAATAGGGAGGAAGGGAAGCATATTCAGATTTGCAAGATTCTGTTACTATAGCTGTTCTAATAAAAAAATCTTTAGCTCTACATGTCAGTTTCTTAGTCTGGTCTACCTTATATGTCTGACAAATCCTAAATTCACGTCTCTCCTTGGTAAATAAGTGTAGTACAATTTATCCATCCATATACAGCATTACTGGCTGAGGAAAGTAGATTATATTGCAAGGGAAGGGAAGAGGAAGATTTCACACAGGCTTGCCATTTTCATGGTAGCTCTGAACTTCTTTTAAAATGTGCACTTTCACCCTTAGCTTCTTAGTGCCCACTCCTACCCCTACCCTGAACCAACACCAAGAATGCTGCATTCATTTCTGACACATCTGATCCAGCAACAGACAAACTTCAGGCCATTCTTTGCTGGATCAAATCAACAACTCACTGAAATTAGCATTCTCTCTTGTGCTAACCAGCTGGTCCTAGAAAACACAAGCAAGGCACAATGGCAATTTCCATACTTGGTTGTTAAGCCCTTGTATATTTGCTCTGAAAATGGTTACATCTTCAGCTTTCACTGCTACCTGTCTCTGCCAGACCTATCCTCCATAAACTCTACTACTTTGTAAGATTTATGTGGAAGTCCAGTGATTTCTACATACTGTTATATTTTGCATGGCCAGTGGCTTCTAACAGTTAGTATCCCTCAGGATTCATATGCTATTTTTATAGACATGTATACAAGCTATCAGGAATACTTTCTGCAGCGATTATTCTAAAGGCTCATCATGTGTTTTACAGTTCTTTCATGGTATTTTTGATGGCACATTATTCTGATTATATTTTAAGAATTTGTGCAATGAAGTAGCCACCCCCAATAAGAATCTTCCTTGAAATCCTATTATTGGGCCCAACCATGTGGGCATTATATGTATCCAACAGTATTTCCTTTGGTGTCTGCCAAGCTCACTGCTCCACGTGATTTTACTTGCTTTTATTGAACTAAAAAAGGGAGACTAGTATGCTGCAAAATAAAACTGCAGCCTCAGCTTTATCTGTATTTTCAATACATCTGAGCTCCACAAAGATCCCATAGGCATTCTTAGAAAATAACATGATGGGTGGCTGCAACCCAGTGCTTTATTAGAAGAAAGGCCCATTTCCCCTCCTCCCCCTGCCCTCCCCTGATAAATTGGGGCACTGTAGGAGTATCTGGGGAGAGCCAAGGGATGTGACGGAACATTCTAAGGAGCAAAGAAAGTAATAAAGTTATTTTTATATTTGTGCATTTTGTATGTGTGGTAGCTGGTTATTTGTTCAGGTGAGAAAAACTTCCATGGCAATCATTACATGCTCTCCAAGTTCCAAATGTGTTCAGTAGCCCCCAAAAGTTGAAAATTACAGGGTTGTAGATCCACATCACTATGACAGCATATATCTGAGTAGGATAGGAAGGGAGATTAATGAGCAATAGGGCTCTTCAGCAATCCAGATTCAAAGAAGAAAAGGCAATTTGGAATCCATGGGGGTAATCATGTAGCATCTGTCAGTACTCCTTAAAGAACCTGCCATTTATCCTGAGCTTGCACATGATCCTATCCCACGAAAAACATTTGATACAAGGAGATGCGACAAGTGTCCATGTATGTGGTGAACTGCCTTTTCCCCTATGGATCCTGATTGCTGCACAGCCCTAATAAGCAATTTTCTTCCCACCCAACACTTTAATTCAAGGACACTAGAAGACAGCCAATGGTTCTCCCAACTTTCTTAATTTATCTTACAATCTAAGCCTAAACATAGAGGCTATTATTTATCTTAATTTCAAATCCACATTTAACTACCTTTACAAAATAAAACTGTATTACTTGCTATAATTAAACTTTAATTCAAAATATCAAGAAAACAACAGGCTGTGGAAAGCTGGATTACAGCATAGCCAGTTCTATAAAGTGATTTTATTAACTTCACTAAGGACAGTGACTGTTTCAAGTCTATTACTGATCCCAGAACATTTACTATACTATCAGAAAAGTGACTCTAAATTTAGATGCGTTCCCCCCCAAGTTTAAATCTTCCTCCTTTATCATATCCCCAATAAAGTGAAGACAACTCTCCTATTTTAAAGTTGCATTATCTAGAGGAAAAACTAAGTCTTTCTTTCAGGGAAGTTTATAATAATTATTATAAATGGGTGTATAATAATCCATACAGCAACTGACATTCAAAAGCAACAAGTGATAAATTGAGAGGGGTAAAAATATTTTAGAGATGTTCTCAATTAATGGGCAGTTGAGCTTATAAAAGCAACATAAAATGCAAAATTCTTCAAATAAAAAAAAAATAGGGAAGGTATCTGCACATTATACAAATGTTTCCAGGCCCCAAATATATCTAGAATGTTAGACAATGAGTAGCATATAGTAGAACCTCATTCCCTCAAAGATGCAAGACAAACAATGGGTTCACACACTTCCCACCAATGTAGTTATAACTTATAATGAAGTTTCATTTTGGCTTACCATAATTATGGGAATTCAGCAACTGTGGTTTGTAATCCACAGTTAGTATACTTTGTGAACCAATAAACTATTATTTGTTCAATAAACCATGGTTAAACAAACCATGTCTTAGGTTAATGGGTGAATCCATTACACAATACACAATCCAAACCAGAAAATCTTCCCCCAAAGGATTGGTCTATAACTTGCAGCATGGGCTGGCTGGTATAGCAGCAAGTACGATCCCAGGAGCATCCCCCCCACACCCAGTGATACAGCATCTGCCTTAAGAAGACAGACGTTGATTCTGACCCTGTTCTCCTTTAGAAAAAAGAGGGTTTTTTTTTTCCAACAGGCCTTAGGGTAGGGTGATTTGTGACCCTGCGTGATATATTTTGTTTTGTATTATTATTTCCCAATTTGAATGGGTGATATTTACCTTACCACTGGCTACATGATGGTTGTTTTTTAGGTTTGTATTGCACCCTTGGATCTGTTGGCAATTGACACAGCTCATAAAAACTTAAATAAATAAGTACTTGCATACATTTAGACACTCACTTCTGAAGGCCTGGGTTAGGAAAAACTGACCTTAACATTTAGGTAGTATGCTACACATTAAATAAATTTATTGTACCCTAAAATCAAATGCACAGCCCATCACTGATTGCACTGAAAGTATTTCCTGTGGCTCTTATATCAGATTCCAAAAAAGTGATGTGAAATTTGCTATAAGACTGCACCTTTTCTCCAATTCTTTCTTTTTTAATTGTCTTCTGGAAAATTCACAGGTAAAAGGTAAAAAAAGATACTGCAACTGTGAATCTTTATTTTTCTCTTAATTCAGAATTACAAACAAACATGCAAAATATTTTTTAAAAACAAGGAAAAGCAACAAGATTCAATATAACAGTACATCTATGGAAGAGTCAGAGAAACAAAGAAATCTCAGGGTTAAAAGTCCAGCTTTGGTTTCAACTGAAGTTTGAATCCTAAGCTAACAAGCTAGCAATATATAGCATTAACAATTCAATGGATATTAGTGCTTCTTTTTCTTCAAACACTTTGGCTATAGAAAATAATATGTAATTTTTTTTTAAAGAACTGTTTTTAAAAAGTTGAAAGCAACAAATTACATGCACAGTGAAATGTGTTTTCAAAACATTAAGATGTAAAAAGGAAGAAGGTTTTGAGTCCAGTGTAAGCCGCCTTCTGTCCACAGATTTTGGCGGCATACAACTGATTATTACAAATAAATAATAAATACGCCCAGAGAATTAAAATGGTAAAATACATTTATTTTGTTCTGAGGTTTAATTTGTCATTTTGCTTTAAATATCCTAAATCAGGAATAGTGTTATGCTCTAGTAATCAAGCTGCATTCAATAGCTGCTGTTTCTTCAATTATTCATATACCTTCAATAAACACTTTGATTCAGTAAATATTTTTCCAGCAGTGAGTTTTAAACCATCAAAGTTAATTATACCATTTTGCACTCTTTGAAAAGACAAGAAACTAAAGATCTGCAAATCAATATATTCCTCACACTAAGCATACACTGCATATATTTTAATGTTTTTAAAAAGGAATGCAGAATTTGCATGAAAGATTTACATTGCACCTAACTGATTTTTTTTTCTTTAAAGAAACTGGCACACACTGTACAAATACTTACAGTCTCCAGCAGTTTCCAGGAGGGAAGGAAAAAGAATTCAACCCCAAGAAGTCATCAAGAAACATGGGATAAAAAATGACCAACGTAACAAGATGCTGAACATGGGAATGTTGCCAAAGATGGTAGTATTAGCACTGGTACAGCAAACATTCCTGAGAAGGCCAAATGCTTTCTGTGCTCATCAGAAAACAAGTTTTGACAGCCACAATGATATGTTCTAAGCCAGCTATTGTTTAAGACAACACGGCACAACCCTTTTCTCCTCCCCTTATTACAGTGCATGAACATTATATGCATCTCAGCCACTCACCAGGGGGATATGAAGTTCTCTTTTCACAGTGGTTTTTGAGTAATAACAATGTGAATGTACAGTCCAATCACTTTGCAGATGTAGTTTTGCACCCTCCCACAACCTATAGGTCAAATTGATTATTTCATTAAAATAGTTTGGGTCATATAACATTTTGTTCATGCTTTTGTCCTTCCCTTCTCTTCTGTAATTAAAGGAAATGTCTCCTCTAACATACTGCAGTCAAAGACAGAGTATCTTTGTCCAACCTGATGGTAGACATTAAGAGAGAAATTCCACTGAAACAGTGCCTGCAATCTTAAGCAAATTTCACTGAATGCAGTGAGAATTACTTCTAATCAGGACAGATAAAAATCAAATTAAATATCTTTTTTTGTTTAAGCCAGATGTTAAAACTTTCTTAAAATGTTTTACAAAATTAATGTACAGTACTTCAATGATATAATTATGAATATAACTTCTAATTTCTTATTTACTAATACAGATATAAGTTAATAGAACTGATACCTGATCTCCTCTGTAAAATCCAGAGATGTTTTATGCAACTGAAAAACTGATTATGGTTCTCTTAGTGGCTAGGCTTCCCTCAAACAGTAAATAACTGCATAATTAATTGAACTGATACTTGTTCATCTTTTAATGACTGTACAAGTATGCACCTCTTTGCTAAAGATTTGCAAAACTTAGCAGTTCAGGATCAGAACCATTCTGTTCCCCCTCTGACCATGCTGCTCCAGGGACAGTGTGACCATTTCTTGAAGTAAACCCTCCAAACCAACAGGGGTTCAAAATGTCCCAAACACAGCATTCTGACCTGAACAGGCATGTCCCAGACACAGCACCCTGACCCAAACATTTACAATTCAGATTTATGTCAGGAAACTGCCAAACTATGCCTTGAAACAGCATGATCCGGGGAGGAGGGGGGATGGAAAGTTCCAGAGTTCTCCAGAACATTTTATTTCCAAATCTGGAAGTTTTGCAATCCCTACTTGGTACTAAAAAAGGTTAAATGATTCAATTTTTAAAATAAAAATTAATTTGTACAAATTATGAGTTAATTGCTTTAATATGGCATGCACCTTTTAAAATCTACATCTTTTTCTGAGTACTGATGCATATGTGTTCAGATTGTATTGAATAAGAAAGCATTTTTATAGAAAGTATTGTAAAATATTCCAGACTAGTGAACAAATCATGATTTAAATAATTAAAGATGGTAGATGGAGTGTTGTACATGTATTGACTTTGTATGCATGACCAAAAGAAGTGGGCTTGCACTGTGATGTTCTGTCTGCCATCACGCCAATGTTGACCCATCCCCAATGAATGTCACTGTGTATTTCTTCTGTAAATGGCATGAGGTGGCTAATTTATTATTGAACTGCATGTTTACATTGATCTGAAAAGATACATGAAAAAGGCAATATTTGTCAATGGAAAATTAGGAAAAGAATAATTTTTTTAAAAAAATACCAGTTCTATAAAGCTTTTGTACAAATTGCAATATAACCTTGTTTAAGGTTGTTTAAATAGAGAATATGTATAAAAGGGCAACTGAAATGGCCAAACACTGCAGAAATGCATAAAATAAAGATGTTACATGGTGCTGGAAAAGTGGCTGCCAAAACATTTTTCTTCTCTTCTTTATCATGCAAGAAAATGGGACCATCCAATGAAGCTAAAAGGTCAGAAATTCAAGACTGAGTAAATAAAGCACTTCTTCACACAACACCTAGCTAAACTACAGAATCCAGTATCAACAGATGTAACAATGGCTACCAACTTGAGACGATTAGCCAAATTCATGAAGATAAGGACAGGACTATCAGTATTAGAAATTATTAGAAACAACATGCTTTAGCATATCAATTGCAGGAGAATAAAACTCTTATATCCTACTCTGGGGTTTCCCAGAACCATTTCTTTGGCCAGTGTTGAAAACACTGAAAACATACAGTTCAGTGGCACTGTAGCTGTTCATTATTTTTTTCTAGTTTATATTATTCTGCAAAGTGGCATGTATACAGTAGCAGTATAATAATTATAATATTAATCATCTTAATTAGCATCATCATTGGGTAATGTTGTAATTGGCTGATTTTATCATCTACATGCATATAAAGCAAAGATTACCAATGGTTTTATTCAGAAAAGGCTAGTTCATCACACAAGTTGCACACAAAATGCAACAGACATACCAACAGACAAGGAATGTTCTACCTCAAAGCCAAACCATAGCATCCCGCACAAGTTAAAGCCTTTAAATAGAGGTAGGCTTGGAATTTAAGATTCCCAGGCCTATTAGGAAGAAAGATACAGCTGAGTGAAACTATCCATAAAAGATTACAGACAAAATCAGATTTCTACATTTAGAGGCAGTACAACTCAATTTAGCTGTAACAGAGCAAGGGCTAACCATAGAAATTAGTGAGCTAGGTGGACCAATGATCTGGCTCCATATAAGCCAGTTCCCTGCAGAAAGGTGGTGGCCACAACTTAAATACCTTGATCTGATTCAACAGAATTCTTCTCTTCTTTGACTTCTCCACTTCAAATACATCCTGCTCAGATCCCCACCAATCACCAGCCTTTCTACCTTCTATTCTGTCCTCTTTGTGGGAAGAAACCTCATCCCACTCTTCTCCTTCTCCCTCTATAGCAGCACCCCCTCTACGCTACCCTCTCCTGCTCTCGATTTTGTTTTATTATTTGTACCATTTACTGTTCTATAGTTAACATTGCTGCATCAGTATCATCGTATGGTGGGGCACTCGTCGCAGGCCCAGAGGCTGGATATAACCCAGATAGCAACAAGCCCTCTTCTTACCTCTGCCCTTCCTTGGTTTTGACAACTGAACCTCGCTTGTTTTTTTAGCTTTGGCTACCCAGGGAATGTTCCCTTCCAGCCCTCCCCTCCCCCCAACAATGGCCTTTTCTTTCATCTGACATTGAGAGATTCCACGGAGCGCAATTCATCATCATCCCCGAGCACTACAGTTATCCCGCCTTTTGCCTTCGGTTCCTCTCCCTTCGCCATTTCCCGGGCTCCCCATAGGTGCCTTAAAATGACGCCCCCCCCGGACCCTCAATGAAACTTCAAAATGTCTCTCAACTGTTTCTGCTCACCTTCAAGAGCGAAAGCAAGACCTTTCACCCCGTCACGCGTAAAACTTTGTGGTCCCCATCCCTTAATTCTCCCCGCCCCCCATGGCCCCCGTCGGAGTCCGTCCCTCTTCTTCCCACGCGGCGTATCCCCCCTCACCTACCTTCCCCTCCCCTCTCCCGCCTCCCCCCTTACTCTTTGCCTCTGGACTCCCCCGCCTGTCTCAGGCCATTTCACCGTGCGTGGCTGGGGGCGCCTCTCCGGATCCTGAGAGAACGAACTGGCCACCAACACCCGGCCCCGCTTTTTGTAACTTCTCTCGTGTTCTAGAGTCAGCGAGCCGGTCCGGATACGATCCCCGAAGCTTCCTTCTCTCCCGCCCCCGGTCTCCATTCCCAGTGAAAATCAACGAATGGGCAAAAGCCTCTTTGCAAAAGAACGCCTAACAAATGCAAAAGTGAGGTGACGATTTGGTTCGGGATAACGCACGTAACAGTACGAAATGCTGTTCTGTTTGCAGAACTCTTTATTTTTGGGGGGGGGGAATAATAATTTGCAAAGGCTGCAGATATGATAGATGATGTAAAGTGCAACCCGCTGTTGATAATTTTTGTCAATTTACTTTTGCAAACACACTTGTTTTCAGTTGCAAACACTTTAGCTGAATTCGGTGCGGGGATTTATACAATTTGTCCATCACAATTATTGACAGGTTTTGGCCCATGCAAAAATAAAAGGTGCTTAAAATAACAGTTCCTTCTGAACTAAACTGCTTCAGAGGTATACCGTTACAAATTGGAAGTTGCAAATTGAATGCCTCAATTGTAGTCACAAAATATTTTTCCTCAAATATTTTTGAAATTGCAACCCTCCTTAATTTGAACTAATTTTGATTAGATAGGAAAAACTCACAAAAAGCCCCCAGCCAACATACATGCTTGCACACATGATAGTATGCTCATGTGTCCTATACCACTGATGTAAGCAGGTAGATAAACACTTCAGTGCTTGCTTTCATTCATGACAAAGCAAACCTATAAGCCACTTTCATTCCATCATGACTGAAGCAACATGTAAGTTTAGTAAATGAATAGTTAGGAAAGAAAATATGTTGCATCATCATTACCACATAAAAACAGTTTATATATGCACACATGTACACGCACACACATGCCAAAACCACACAGAGCATGCAACATTTGTATATAATGCCTGCACACAGTCCAGAGCTGCTTACTCTGTCATTAATAGCTGGGCCTTCAACCTGGAGCCTGGATTTAACCAATATGCCCACAGATGATTTCCTTGATGTTCACCAGGCTCCCTACCTCATCTGACTTTTTTACATTTTTTACATCTTTTTTTTTAAAGATAACTGTCAGGCTTCAAAGCACAGTACAAGGTTCCAGCATCATCTCTTTACAACAGAGCCTCTTGGCCCCAAATCAGCCCTAAATTTTCACCAATAAAATAAAATAGGCAGCTGTCTTAAAAAAGGGCAAAGGAAGAGAAAATTAAGGGAAGTGGCAGGCATCATTTTGGCAAGTCATTTCCTTGTTATGTCCCACCTAGCAGCCATTTTGTGAGTGCCTGTCTCCACCCAGCAACTATTTTGCCAAAGCACCTGCAGCATGTTCTCACAATGGCCCACCAGCCATGGGAACTTTTTATTTATTTATTAACTTACTTAGAGGACATATGGCTGCCTATCTCATATAATGATTCTAGGCAGCTCACAACAATATAATCAAACAGTTTACATCTCTCTCGTTATCTGATTCTGAGATATACAATTGAACATAAAAAAAAAAAATCCTTAAAATCTCCACTTTCATACTCAAAATGGAAACAATTGCTATCTCCCCCTCCCCCTCCTCCTCCTCCTTCCCATGTGCCTCCCAACTGCCATTATGCAAAATTTGCATATTAACACCTGTAATATTGTCTGTATATCCAAAATAGCCACTG